TTCATGTCATGCTTTAAAAATCCCTCTCCAGGGCCGGCCAAATAGCTCAGCAGATTAAAGGGCCTACAAGATGGCGCAGAGGCCAGGTGTTCAATTCCCGGGCCTGCTGTGCCAGCCCCGCCCCTGGGACACTCTGAGATGGCAACTGAGACTGGATGTGGTGGTGGTGCATGCCTGTAATCCCAGTAATCCCAGCTTTTGGGAGGCTTTTTTTTGTTTAAATAACTACATGTAAGCGGCCCTCTGATTTGCTGATGGTCAAGGCCCTGCCAGGCTGCACCCTGGACTGTGCAGGCTCAGGCCCTGAGTGAGTCACCCTCTGCCCCCTGCCAGGCCAACGGTGCCCACCTCCCTGCTCCTGCCCTGGCCTCGCTCTAGAGCGGCCTCGGGTGGTGCTGTCCTCCCAGCCTGGCCCTCCTCTCCCTGCTGCTGCCTGGCCTCATCCCCCCTCAGACACACCCACTTTGGGGTTCCTGCCCCTCCCCAGAGGGTGGCACCTGCCTGGGGCCTCGCACTTCAGCATTTCTAGAAAATGGTGGCAACAGCCATCTTTCTGACACATCTGGAGGTCCCTTAAATGTTTTGTGTCTCACTCAGGTGGCAAAGAAACCCAGCACGATGTGTGGAAATACAATTCTTCGATCAACAAGTGGATTCAGATTGAGTATTTAAACATAGGCCGTTGGAGGCACAAGATGGCTGTGCTGGGCGGCAAGGTCTATGTGCTCGGAGGCTTTGATGGCATGCAAAGGATCAACAATGTGGAGACCTACGACCCCTTCCACAACTGCTGGTCGGAGGTGTGGCACACTGTGTCCTTGGGCGGCTTCCTGTGGTCCTCTGGGGGGGCACTTTATGGTCCTTTGGGGGGGCACTGTGCAGCACGGCCAGCTGTCACTGCTGGTGGCCTGAGTTTCCTTCCCCAGGACCCATGGTTCTAGCTTTGCTGCTCGGGCCAGGCAGCAGTGTCCTCCCTGTGGCAGAGCCTGTATGGACACTGCCTGGCCTGGCCTGGCCTGCCTTGATGGGCAGGGGAGGTGGACTGGCCCTGAGATGGCAGAGCCTTCGGCCTTGTGGCTCCATCCAGAGTTTGCCTCCTCAGACACCTGGCCCACTCTTCTCCACACTGGACCCCCGGGGACCTCTTCCCATGCAGTGTGTGAGCCTGGGCTCTCTTGGTCATGTTAGAAGTCAGCCTTGCTTTTCTCCGTTACTGACGAGCCCTTTGAAAGCCTGCATGCCAGGCGCTAGCAGCGCAGCCTTGGGACCAGCCAGGTGACGTCACCTCCTGTATTTCTAGGTTCTCCTCAAGTTCAAGGTGTCCTTCTCCTTATCAGGCCATGGTTCAGCTTTGAGGAGTATAAGCCTGGTCATTTTAGGCACAGGCAGTTGGTACCTGGTCACCACAACATCCAGCCAAGACCTATCAACCCTAAACATACTCTAGGGAGTCCCAACATGTTGGGGCATATGCCCAAGACCCCCAGTCATCAAGTCCTGTCACAGAGTCGCCCTAAAGAGGTCATGTCAATGTGCACAAAGCTCTTGGGAGTCCCCTCTAGTGTCCCAGGGAGTACAAGGTAGGAGAAGCACAGTCCTGGCTTTGTCCCTGGATCTGAAGTGCGCCACCCAAGTGAGAGCATCCACTTACCTGTGAGCACCTTAAATCTGTGTGCCAGCTTCTCTTCCCGGACATAAGCACCAAGGAGGATCAGCGCTGGCATATAGGAGGCACTCAGTAAGTGTTTTCTGAGCAAATGAGCACATGAATACAATTTGAAAAAAAAAAAAAATCATTCCCTTCCAACGTTGTCCCCACCACACTTGTCCTGCCTCTAGCCCTCTTCCTGAGAGCTGAACTGGTGGGAACATCCAACACAGAGCCCGTGGGAGTCCCCCAGAGCCTGCCAGGATGGCAGGCAATGCACGCTTTCATTCCCTCGGTGTCCTAAGGGAGCCAAGCCATGGGCCCTGTGTGCGACCTCAGGCAGAAGGTGCCCAGGTCTGACCCTGAGGCCTGTGCCCTACAACCTGGACAGCACAGCTGAAGCTGACAGCGTCTTTCTGTGTCCCGTCCTCTGCAGGTTGCCCCCCTCCTCGTCCACGTCAGTTCGTTTGCAGCTACCAGCCACAAGAAGAAGCTCTATGTGATAGGAGGTGGGCCCAATGGGAAACTGGCCACAGACAAGACACAGTGCTACGACCCTCTGACGAATAAATGGACCTTGAAGTCGGCCATGCCAGTGGAGGCGAAATGCATCAACGCAGTGAGCTTCCGGGACCGCATCTACGTTGTCGGTGGGTGAGAGACAGCGTCTCATTTACTGGGGTTCCTCCCCTGTGCAGCCAGACCGGAGGTCGCAGATCGCAAAGGCGCTCCTGGGAATCGCGTGTGGTGCGGGAGGGGCTGAAAAGGAGGTCAGGAGGGGGCTGGCCCAGCTCTGGGCGGGATTTCCCTCACATCCCAGAGGGGAATAAAGCCAAGAAGACAGAGGCTGTGAGCCAGAGGAGGAAGCGAGAAATCGGGAACAAAGTTGTGTTACACACGTAGCAAATGCGCAGAAACCGAAACACGTGCAGGACGGTCAGCAAGCGAAGCTACTGCTTTTTCCGGGAGGGAATTTATCTCTCGGCTTGCTGCAGAGACTCTGAAAGGTTGTGTTTAGTCCGGAGAAAGTCTGGCCGGCCAGACCACAGCTGGCATGTAATTGTGAAGGAAGGGGGCACTCCGTCCTGACTACTCATTAGAATCCCAGCAAGCCTTTTACAAAAATATAGGTCACCGGGCTTTAGCCCACAGCAGTGAGATCAGGGTGGGAAGGGGCTTTGCGGGGCAGTATGGCTATGTTTTTAAAAACTCCAAGTGATTTTAATGTGCAGTCGGGATACAGAACTACTGATTAAGGAGATGCCAGAAAATGAGTAATTACAGTCAATGAGAGCTACTCAGGGAAGGCGTTGGAGGCGAAACACGAGAGTGGGTTCGGAAGAAACCCTTTCCTCCTTCAGGGTCCTCTGTGTGCTTGTGGCCAGCCTCTGGGCTCTTCAAAGGCTCATCTCAAGACAGGGGCCTTGGGCTAGGCTCCCAGACCTCTCTCTGTCTACAGAGAGACGCCACCCCAGTGACCACAGGGATGATGGCTTCACCAGGCCTGGTGGGGTCCTTTGGATTTTGTGTAACCACTGGGGTCCTGGTGCGCTGGTCACAGGTGACAGCAGAGCTGTGTTTCTGCGCCACAGCTACCCGACGCACCTGCTAATACTTCTTCCAGGGGGCAGTCCCGGTGCATTTTGGCAGGTGGCACAGGTGGGTGTGTCTTAGAGCCCCCCGCACACCTGGCTGCAGGATGCAGAGGGAGGATCTCCACGCTCGCATCTTGCTGGTCCTAGGACCCGCCTGGTTTTCTGCAGGGGAAGCCACTGTTCTACTGCTTCTGTGGCAAGATGGTAGACCTGGCCTAACTAGAAGTAGAATTTTCATAAGAAAGATGGCCAGAAAACTGCTGGATATGACTGACGCTCATCAGCTGTGTTCTTCCTCCTCAGGCGGAGCCATGAGGGCGCTATATGCCTACAGCCCCCTCGAGGACAGCTGGAGCCTGGTGACCCAGCTCAGCCACGAGCGTGCCAGCTGTGGCATCGCGCCTTGCAACAACCGCCTGTACATCACAGGGGGGAGGGACGAGAAGAACGAGGTCATCGCCACGGTGCTGTGCTGGGACCCTGAGACCCAGAAGCTCACAGAGGAGTGCGTCCTGCCCCGGGGCGTGTCGCATCATGGGAGCGTCACCATCAGGAAGTCCTACACCCATATCCGGAGGATTGTGCCAGGAGCAGTGTCTGTGTGACCACGGGGGGACCTGGAGGGCGACCCCACCTGCCACATCCCCAGTCGGATCTTGCCCTGCAGTCACAGCTCTGGGACACTTGAGACCAGCCAGGAGCGTGCGCTCATCTACCTCAGGAGGGAAGGCATGGAGGCCAGTAGCGGGTGCCACTCAGGACGTACCTGCCTGGGCCAGGTCCCAGCTCGCTCCGCCAGGGCTAGGCCAGGAGTCTACACCAAGTCTTCCCATCTCGGCCAGTGTCCTTCCTTCCATACTGCCCAGCGTGGAGCAGGAAACCCAAAACCCGGGTCTAAGCCCGGCTCAGGTCTTGTTCTTCAAGACTGGTAAAGTTCATTCATTCATGCACACCATGAAGGTGTTTCTTCTTCCCTCCTTTCTTTATCCCTTCTTTGTAGACTGGATGCAATCCAGGGTGTCAGAGCCCTGGAGTTCCCTGTCTAGAGCACGTAGGAGACCCGTCCACTTGGCAGGTCCTCGCAGACAGCTCTGGGAAGGAGCGTTTGGCTTAGAAGGGGTGAAAGACTTGTGTTCTGCGCTCTGCTTTTTCTGATCACAAATGGCCTGCTTTGGACTAGATCTGACCTTACCAGACAAAGTCACCTTCACCACAGCCTGGTGGCCAGGCCTCTGCATGTCCACGAGCTGTACTGTAGTGTGGAAAAAAGATTTCCAGAGGCAGCTGCAAATGCAGGCATCTCAGTGCTGCTGGCCACAGCAGGAAACACAGATCCTCCTTGACAGTATTCTTCCTACTTTTTGGACAGTGATGTGTGTCGATGTTCCCGGCACCTCCTAGACTGTTGTTTTCAGGATCCTTTAAAGCTCTTCTTGGGTTTTAGATCAGTGTGGCTTGATTTTGATTTAAAGGACAGAGTCTGCCCTTCACTCTTAAGAGGAAGGGCTTTCAGATGTGCTCACTGGAAATGTATTCTAATCCCCAGGTGGGGAAACTGGTTAAGAGATCTTGTTTCACACTCTGTAGTTAAAAACATAGTGACAACATCATCAAAGCTTCTTTATTTTAATCGGCTGATCTCAATTCTCTTTTTAGAGCTTTATTCTTGCCTCAGGGGGACGTATCTTGCGTGTACTTCTCAACAGTTTGGCAAGTCATAAGGGATGTTAGGGATGATCTTGAATTTAATTTTCATTAAAAAATTATGGTCAGAAGGACCTGATGTTCAAATAATAGATTTCTTCAAACTTGGAAAATGGCTGGGAAGTAGCTCAGTGGCATACGAGCCTGCCTGACAAGCCTAAGGTCCAGAGTTCTATCCCCAGTACAGCAAAACAAACAAACACTTGGGAAATGACCACTGAGATTTCTGTTTATGCCTAGATGGTTGGGGATAAATACAAATGTGTGTTAATGTGTCAAATTTTCTATGTCTTAACATTGGCGGGACAGGTCAGCTTCCTGCTAAGAAAAACAAGATGTGGCAATAAAAAATGGATTTGTGCCTTGCATGCAGCAGGGATCCTGGTAACCTCTGTGAGGCCCTCAGCCGAAGCAGTTTAATTTAGTTCAGTCCAACGATTTCATCTCATTCAACTCCTGTTTTATCAGGTTGTAGGGACACAAACGAATGCCAAATTCTCGTCCTAGAGACATTCAGTAAATGGACGCATCGGCCACCAGTCACTATTCTAATTTCCGTTTTCATCCACATACACGTAGCTGCAATGAGATGCACATGAAGGTAGGAGGCTGGTCCAAGTCCTGATGGCCTCTTGGTGGTGGGGTAGGGGTGGGGTCTCCTCTGAGAGCGGTGTGCCTAGGTCAGCCAGCAGTCACCTCTTCCAGGCTTGTCTCTTTGGCATCAGTGTTGGAAGCCACTGTGAGCCACAGGAAAAATCTGTCTTAGTTCAAAGGCTATTTCAGGAAAGAGCTTCCAGAGAAGAAATCCAATGATGTCATTATTGGCATAGATGGAGAGCCTTGCTCCAAAAGAGAGCCTTCCCTCGCTGGTGGTGGCGAGTGTCTTTTGCTAAGAGCAATCAGCAAATCTTGAGCTCCATGGTATGCTGGGAGGATGAGGGTTTGGGATCTCTGAGTTATAAACCTGATTCTAAATTCTCAAGTTTCAGGACTAGCTGAGAATACCTAACCACACACAAAGAAGGACTCTGAAGTTTATGACACCAGATAAACAGGTGAATTATGTTAAAATAAAAATGGCTGCGTCCAAGAAATGGGCGTCTCTCCTGGTGATATCGAGTAGGTGCAGATATTCCTATCAGAAGATCTAGAGTTCTGTATTTGAAGCCACCAATATGTAGCTCTCAGGGAAAGAAAAAAAAAGTTGTTGGAGTCACTTGAGGCACCTTCATTAGGTAGTCATCAGGGATCAATCTTTGAGGCCCTCAGTCAGGTTGGGAGATCCTAACAGTCTAGTTTCCATTCCAAAGTCACCACCATCATCACTACCGCCATCCCAAGTTGCATCCCGCTCACCGTTCTAACCCACCCCATAGGTCTGGGGAGAGCCAAGGTGGGGCTAACTCAGAGACAGAGATCTCTAGGACTCAGGCAGGACAGCCTGACAGCAGGCTGCATGCCTGGAAGGCCCCCATGTGGACAGAATGCCCTTGGCGGAGGAAAAGAGGAAGAAGTCAGAGGAGAACCTAGTCCCTACCAGAGATGGGGGTCTGGAAACTGTTATCGCGGGCCCTGGAGTTTGTGAACATGACTCCTGTCCTAAGAAGGGTGAGGGAGAATAGGGAGGCGGAAACCCTTTTCTTGAGATGCAGGCATGAGGTAGACCGGACTAGCAGGTGGGTCAGTCTCCTGAGTGGCCCAGCTGGGTCTCCTCTCCCAAGGAACTCAGAACGCAGTCCAGAGCCTCCGAGGGAGAAGATTCGGTAGATGAGGTCAAGTGGCGGCTCCAGTTGCCAAGGTCTGAACTAGGCAGCGAGGATCACCAAAATACGGACAGGTACTCTTCTTAGCCTCTGTGCATTCTGGTCTCAGAGCTTTCAGGACACACACACACACACACACACACACACACACACACGCACGTACGCACGCACACACTCGCAGTGTCCTGGAACTCAAAATAAACCATGCTCTCAGGGAATATAATTTTCATTGTCTTATAGTGGTGAAAGAATAGCTTTGCTCTCTGCAGAAGTCCTTGAGTTATTACTGCTGATTAATTAACCTGGTTGATTTTTTTTATGAGCAGAATATATTTATTGAGGGAAAGAAAGCTCCTGTCTAAGAGAGGGACAGGAGGGGGCCCAAGCGGGTTGTCCCCAGGAACCTGGTTGATTTTTTTAAATGAAAATACATAAATAAAATGAAAATACTCAGTGGAATCTTTACCATGAATAGATGTCAGTGGAATTTTTTATATAAAGCCCTAACTTTTCCCACATAGTACTAGATCTTATAATCTGAAGATCTTCAAAGGCAGGTCTTCATGGAAATCCACATATGTCTCAGCATTTTGGTTACATGAATTTGTAATTTTTTATTTGCTCAAAGTAAGAATACTGTTTGTAGGTTTGAAAAGTTTTTATTTATTCAATAAAATATGTCTGAAATGGATATGAATGTGTTATACAATGCCTAGATGATTTTTGCTTCTTTTGGTTGATAGAAATAAATAGTATCCAAAT